TCGGGGGAGGGGTTGGAAGGTGTCGAGGAGAGCAGTCAAAAGCAAATGATAAAGGAAGCTTTTGCTGGGGATGATGTCATCAGAGACTTCTTACAAGAGAAGAGGGAAGCTGTGGAGGCCAGTAAGCCTAAGGACACAGACCTGAGCCTGCCTGGCTGGGGCGAGTGGGGTGGTGCGTGCCTGAAGCCTAGTGCCAAGAAGAGATGCAGGTTTCTCATTAAAGCCCCTGAGGGCCCGCCAAGAAAAGACAAAGATTTGCCCAACGTGATTATAAATGAGAATCGGAACGTCCAGGCAGCAGCCCACCAGGTGCGGGCGCTTCCCTATCCTTTCACCTACTGTCAGCAATTTGAAAGGACCATCCAGACCCCCACAGGGTGTATGTGGAACACCCGGAGGGCCTTCCAGAACCTGACTGCCCCCTCGGTGGTCACCAGGTCAGGCCACATCATCACGCCTATTGAAGCAGAGGATGTGGGCTATGGGGCTTCCTCGAGGTCGGGCCTCTCAGCCTCACAGATGAACCCAGAACCACACTCCCTGCATCACAAAAACAACCGAAGAGAAGTTATTTCTTGGGTTGCTGGAGGAGTGACTTCTTGGTGCCAGAACCAGGGTCCCCAAATGAGCAGGTGAGCCAGTTTCACTCTAAGGTACAGGATTGATTCTAAAAATGGCCTAGCATTCTGTATACACAGTTAAAACACATTTTCAAAATAAAGGCTTTTCCCCCCTTAAGGAACAGAGTGAGGTTGTGCCTTTTACAAAATTGAACAGTATTCACGGAAGTACATGTGAGAGGACCGAGGAATTTGAGTGCCTTATAAACACCTGGGTGTGTCTTAGCTAAGATTAAAAAATTAGATGGAAATGACTTTAAAAAAATAAACCCTGTGTGGGCCCTCCCTGGTGGCGCAGCAGGTTAAGCGCAGCACTGAGAAGCTAAAGCCACTTCTGGTGTGAGTTCGATCCCTGCCCCGGAGGTGACCCACAGGGCGCGGCAGAACTCTCCCGACCCGCCTGCTGCTCCCCTCAGCAGTGTACTTCATCAGTCCGTCTGTTCTGCTCCCTGCTCTGTCTCTGAGGAGTCCTTTCACCTCCCGTACCTCTGGCCTGTACTCCATTTCTGTATGCATAAATAAATAAATCTTTAAAATAAATAAACCACCCATGTGTAAAAAACACAGCAAAAATATAGTTGGCTGCTAGGACCAAATCTGACTCATTTGGCAACCGTGTCTGCCAGTCTGGCTTCTGGGGACACGTGTGTGTGCATGTATTTCATACAGGAATCTGTCATGCATACATTTAACTTTTGCCAGTGTAACTAGACCTGCTTAAGAGCAACAAGTGATGTTAGATGGGAGAACTGAGACTCATTTCAGTGATCTTCCCAGTTTGCAGGAGCAGGTGCTGGGAGTCCCTGTCCCTAGGCCTCAGTTTGTCACCATTTCCATGACCATTATTTTGTGGGCGGAGCAGTGTAAGGAGACTAACCTACTGCAAAGGGAGGATGGGGGACAGACTGGTCTGTTCATACAGCAAATAGCCACACAGCCACAAAACAGGAGTGAACTGCTCAGGTAACACCCACACTGATGGGTCCTTGTATGGACATTTCAAAAATGGGAAATGTGATGAGCCTTGGAGAGTGGGTAGCTGCCGGGCACAGGAGCTACCTGCTGGCGAGCTGGAGCTGCCCTCCCCCAGGGGTGCTTAACCTCTGTATCTATAATGCAGCCAGTCACAGGCAGACCTGACCTGTTGTAAGTTATGCCTCAGTGGAAAGGGAAAACGAGCCTGGGCACCCCCCCCAGGAGTCTTGATTCATTGGTCGAGGGGCGGGGGCACCAGCCAGCATGGGTAAGGGGAGTGCTGTACCCCAGAAGACAGGGCAGCACTTAGCAAAACAGCCCCTTCCCAGCAGTGAGACTCCTGCCCCAGCACTATGCCTTTGCGTCCCCCTCTGAAAGGGGTCAGAATGGACCTTCATTACTCATAACCCTGCCTTTATTTCTGCAGAGGGTTCAGTCTCACCACAGTGAGACTGCAGCAGCCCTGCAGCACGAGTTTGATCCCCTGGCCAGGAAATGACCCACAGGGCACAACAGACCCTGTCTCCCCGCTGCTCCCCTCAGCAGTGTATTTCAGAGATCTGCCTGTTCTGCTCCCCGCTCTTGTCTCCAGTGAATCCTCTCATCCCCAACCCGCCGGCACCTCTGGCTTAAATCCATCTTTTATGCAAGAAGAAAATCTTTTTAAGATATATTTTATTTGTGCATTGAAGAACTGGGCTTGAGGCCACAAGGTATGTGGAGGGCGTGAGTATGGGAGTGAGAGGACTCGCCAGAGACAGTGGAGCAGAACAGACGAATGTACAGAAGTGTGCTGCTGAGGGGAGCAGTGGGGAGACAGGAGAGGTCTGCTGCGCCCTGTGGGTCACTCCCTGGGGATCG